GCCTGAGGTGCAGGTCACGAGAGAAGGGCGGGGGGGGGGGGGGGGGGCCCCCCATCCGGCTTCCCCCCTCCAAGCCCCTCTCTGAAAAGACAGAGAATGAGGAAGTAAAATTTTTAATAAATACAAGAACCACTTATTTGGTATTAAACACATGTAAAGGGAAATATAGTCATAAATCTGTAGATGTTGTTGGTGCGACAGGGTAAAAAGAAAATTAACCTTTCTTAGAGCTGTTGAAATTAAGAAAACAGTGGGTAACTCACCAGTTTCTATATATGCCTGAATGTCCGTTGCCTTTGTTAAGACAAGATTTATTAAGCAAATTAGAGGCACAAATAACTTTAAAAAAAAATGAAAAAATTAAATTATTGATACCAGAATCAAAAGCCGTAGAGGCAAGGGTGTTTGTGTTACAGGATTCTTTTAAGGAGGAACAAATTCCAGAAGAGGTGGAAAACGCAGTAATCCTGCTTGGTTTAGGCAAATGAAGTTCCGGGACAGTCCAAATTGGCAGAACTGGTAAAAGTGACCTTAAAACCTGGATCCAAACCGGTAAGACAAAAATAATATCCTATTAAGTGGGAGGCACGAAAAGAATTAAAGGGGTTAATCATGAAATTTTTGGAATATAGGCTTTTGGTAGAATGCGAGTCAAAATACAACACACCTATACTACCGGTAAAGAAACCTGGAGGACGAGAATATCGACTAGTCCAGGATCTAAGAGCTATAAATCAAATAGTTCAAGATATACACCCAGTAGTGGCCAATCCCTATACTTTATTGACATCCCTGAAAGAGGAGCATAAATGGTTTACTGTACTAGATTTAAAGAATACCTTCTTTTGCATACCTCTGGATGCACAAAGTCAAAGCATATTTGCTTTTGAATGGAAGAGCCCTGCAACAGAACGAAAGATACAACTGACATGGACTATACTTCCACAAGGATTTAAAAATAGCCCCACAATATTTGGAAAACTGTTTGTCCATAAAAGACAACATCTGGTCCTTAGAGTGCTGGCACAACGTCTGGGATCCTGGAAGCAGCCAGTAGGATACCTCTCTAAACAACTTGACAACGTGAGTAAAGGATGGCCGGGATGTTTGCGCGCCGTGGCAGCGACGGTATTGCTGATTCAGGAAGCTTGAAAATTGACTATGGGCCAAAAGATGGTGGTGTATGTACCACACATGGTGGTAACTGTTCTAGAACAAAAGGGGGGTCATTGGCTGTCCCCCAGCAGAATGCTAAAATATCAGGTTGTCTTGCCAGAGCAGGATGATGTGGAACTAAAAACCACAACCATCGTAAATCCAGCAATGTTCCTGTCAACGAAAAATCCAACAGAAAATCTAGAACATGACTGCCTGCTAACTGTTGAACAAGTCTATTCCAGCAGACCGGACCTGAGGGATGAGCCTCTGGAAAATCCTGATTTCGAATTGTTCACGGATGGAAGCAGCTTTGTGAAAGAAGAAAGACGAACGGCCGGATACGCTGTTGTCACCACCACCGAGGTACTGGAGTCAGGAACGCTACCTGCAAATACCTCGGCACAGAAAGCAGAACTGGTGGCATTGAGGCAAGCCTTGCGAATGGCAGAAGAAAAAAGGGTAAATATATGGACTGACTCTAAATATGCATTTGGTGTAATTCATGCTCATGAAGCCATCTGGAAAGAAAGAGGACTGCTCTCAGCCCAAGGTTCATCGATAAAACATAAAGAAAAAATCCTTCAGCTCCTCGAAGAGGCGCAGAAACCAAAGAAAGTGGCAGTGATGCACTGCAAGGCTCATCAATTTGGTCGGACAACTATAAACATAAGTAATCGATTGGCAGACAAAACAACAAAAGAGACTGCTAAACAAAGTATCTTTGCACTAATACCAGTAAAACAAATAAAAATCCCAAATCTGAAACAAAATACAGTAAATTGGATGAACAATTGACAGAACAATTAAAGGCATCACAAAATACAGAAGAGTGGTGGGTAACACCAAAAAAGCAGATAACAATAACCCCGCAAGTCATGATAGAACTTGCGAAAAAAAACATACACAGACACATTGGGGTGTAGATGCTATAATCTCGAGCCTAAAATCATCTGCAGTGTGTGTAGGAATGACAGAAGTAATGAAATCTATAATAACTAAGTGTCCAATTTGTCTCAAAAATAATCCTTTAAATCGGAAAAGAGCACCCCTAGGAATAACAAAACAGGATAACACCCCAGAAAATTATTGACAAGTTGATTTTTCTGAACTGCCCAGGCAGAATGGATTCAAGTATCTATTAGTATTAATTAATACTTTTTCTGGATGGCCGGAAGCCTTTCCTTGTCACACCAACAAAGCGAAAAAAGTAGTTAAAATATTGTTAAAAAAAATAATACCAAGGTTTAGGGTACCAATTGGCATGTCTTCCGATAGGGGACCACATTTTGTAACAAAAATAGTTCAGCAAGTAAATAAAATTTTAAGAATAAATTAAGATTTACATACCCCCTGGAGGCCACAATCAAGTGGGAAAATTGAAAGAATAAACCAAACATTAAAAAGACAAATAAATAAAATTTGTCAAAAAGTGTCTTTAAAATGGCCACAAGCTTTACCATTAGCACTTCTGAGAATCAGAATCCAACCAAGATCTAAAGATGGTGTAAGTCCATACGAAATTTTGTATGGCAAACCTTATCAGACTCCTTTAATCCCAGGGGATATAAAAATAACAAGGGAAACAGATTTAAAAATGTATTTGGTTTCTTTAGGAAAAACACTTGAAGCACTCCGAAAATACATTGTGCTGACCAAATCGCTTGCTTTGGATACCCCTGTGCATCAGTATCAACCAGGTGATTTCATGTACATAAGAACTTGGAACTCTGAACCACTGCAAAAAAAGTGGAAAGAACCTTTTCAGGTACTGTTAACAACTTACACTGCAATCAAAGTAGAAGGGGTGGAACCGTAGATACACTACACTCGAGTGAAGAAGGCCCCTTCGTGGAGAGTCATCAATAGAGATCCAGAGACTGCAAAACTGACTTTGAAATATATCTAAAAAGAGTAGTTATTACTGTAAAATGCGAGGAGACTGTATCTCGATCTGAAAACTGATGATACTAAGAACACTGTTCAGTGTATTAGAAGTAAGAACAAAAAACGTTAATTCACTGCCAATAAAAGCAAAACAATTAATATACCTCCTAAGGAGGACTCCAGAAAAAATTTGATGATCGGGCTTATAGAAGAATTTGCAAATTTACAAAATGTGACCCAAATAACTACATGTCTTCCAATCCCAAGGGCGGTAGGAAAATCAGTCCCATGAAGAAATTCAACAAGACATGCAAGAAAATTGGCTTGATAAAATTTTTAATGGATTCAGGTGGAATATTAGTTCTTGGGTCAAATCTTTAGTCGGTACCGGACTGCTTTTACTGGTAGTAGTTTTAATAATAATACTGCTCATTTATTATTGTCTAAAAAAGGAACTCACCAACAGAACAGCTTTTAATCAAATGATTATTCAGGCTATTGCAAGAAGACAAAACCTTAGTGAGTCGGTTGTAACACTTCCACCACCCTATAGCGAAACAAGTGGACTATAAGTGTAGTGTTGTAATTTTGAAAAGTATATTTTAATAATATTTAATCATTATATGATTAAAAAAAATTTAATTATGGAAGTATTGAAAAGATAATTATTTCAAAACTTCCAAAGGGGGGAAATGTAACCACAGTGATGGAATTAGTTAATCATAAAGCACGAACAATGCTGCTATGTCTCTTGTACAGCCCTACCCATCTGAACATTAGGTCTGGGAACAGAGGGTTTAGTCCCTAGGTAGTCATTAATGTTAAACAATAATGGTGAAGGGATTTTTTTAATAGAAATAGCGTTACCAAATGATTGCAGGTGTATTTGTGGTACCTATCTATTGTGTGAATTAATTGAAGCAAAAAGTCATACATCTCTCCCCAAAGAAGTTAGTTTTAATTAAAACCAGCAGGTGCCTAGAACTGGTCAAGATGACCCGTGCCGCAGGGACAAGAGCCAGAAGAGGACTGAGTTTGCGCAGAAACTGTGATGAAGAGGATAAGCCTTCATCTTAGGACCCCCGACGACCACCACTAGGAGGCACTGCGCAAGTGCGGGTGGGAGGAGTGTATGAAAATGGACTGATTTGACTATGAAAGAAAGGGCTTATGTAATCAGATGAATATGTATATTTTGATCTATATAAACTGCACGGAAAGGGTATGGGGTATGCACGTTCGGCGGAATTATCCCCCGTGCATCCGACGTCGCAATAAAGAATGCCTGCCTTTTAACACTACATTGGTGTTACGAGGTTTTATTCCCGGATTTTCGGTGACACCAGTATGCTAAAGAATAGTAAGGGTTGCAGGTAGACATTTTAGGTTATAGAATGACAGTTCTTAAACTGTTGAAGTTAATGGTCTTCACCACCATCCTGACTCAGGATCAACTCTGGATAATGTGTAAGCTGTTAATATTAAGGAAAATCATTATATGATTAATACGTTACTGAATGTCATCAAGTTGTCCCTTGTGCATGAATTGTGTGCGATATCTGTACTATATAATCTTGCCAAGAACATAAAAATAAACAGGCTAGATGTATGAAACTGCTAAATAATTACATTTCTCTGTAATTTAATCCTGGTTTCTGAGTTTTCCTAGGTAACTAGAATTAATAAGCAATCCTATCTTGACTTGACCAGCAAAGTAGTTTCCTAAATGCTCTGTTTTCAGTGTGGTGATTTTCACAAAGTTTTTATATTAAAGCAAGCTTATTTTTTTTTGTAATTTATCATTTGTACTCTGTATTTATCAAACAGTAAAGGATGAGAACCTGGGTGATATGCTGACAATCTAGTTGTTACAACCTTATACAAAATAAAGCACAGTTATCTGTGTAGATATTTTTTTTTTTTCTTACCCCTCAATAAATGGAGTTAGAACTCTTTAGAAAGGAATCATAATATAATGAGAAATACTTGCTGGATTTTTAAATGTATTTTGATGTATTAAATGATTCTTATGCCTTAAACTCTTTTCTGTTATTAGCTGATACAAAGCTTAATCAGTAACTGGATGTTAATTCATGTCATGTCACACTGGACTTCCCGGGAGATTTCTTTGCATGGTGCATTACAGACTCATACCAGTACCAAAAAAGACATATGATTAATATTATTCAATTTTTCATTCATGATAGCTATCCAGCAATGACAAGTGCTTCCACATTTAGCAGTCGAAAGGTACCATGACTGTTTGAACTGTAGTAACTGACACTTAACACAGAATTACTGCGGTCTCAACTTGTTTCCCTTCAAATCCTATTTCCTTACAAAACAAAGAATCTAGAGTCTAAAATTGATGGAAAGCTGGGTGTTGCTTTGTTTTGTTAGCAGCTATAAATAGGTGATCCAGGACCTTGGATACATTCTTTTTGTTACATAGTTTTTCTTCTATGCAAAGTAATACAAGGATTTTTTCAGTGAGTGTGCTAAAACTTTTTAAAAAAAGCTTCTACACTAAAAAAGTTTTATACATAGTAAAGGAACTTGGGTATTGATATTCTTGGGATGTAATTAGAGTAAGTTTACTCAGTGGTAAAAATAACTTGGGAAATATTATCAGTTGTTCCCTGGAAGTAATCATTTTATGTGTAAGCATCTTGTATGTTCCAATATGACAAGTTCACAAAAAGGCTGGTATACTGGAAACTACGGCATGTACAGAATCTTTTATCTCTGTTTAGTTTGTGGTGAAGTGTTACAATGATGAATGACTTTCAATTCCCACGGCTTTCCCTTCCTGGCACTAACAAATTTCCATTCAGTGCCAAACTTTCCAGTTGGACTGATTGTACTTTTCAAACTTGAAAGTCCTATTATGGGACTTCTTGAAAACTATGCTGACAGTTGTAAACCTCAATAGATCATTGTTTGCAGTTTTTCCTTATCTTTTCCTTTGTACTGACTCCTGTAATTAAGTCTTCTGCTATGAGTCAGCAATATTTTTCTTGTTAGATCATGAGTACGCATACATATCTGTACTCATATTGATGATACACTCATGAGATATTCTTACACAACTGTTAGAGTAATAAGCTCTAGGAATCTGTAGTGGTACTTCAACTTAAAAAACATGAAGGACTATGATTATTGTGGAAGCCCGGCATCTTAAAATACAGCTTTCACAACTTAAATAGAAATTTACACTGAATATCTGTTAAATAGCAAAACAAAAAAATTCTTTAGGATAAGAGAAAAGAATAAGAGAAAGTTAAGTCTTGCAAAACTTATGGGTAAGTAGTATTTCTGCAACAAGGATGTTTAAAACTTTTGAAGTCACAATGTGAAGTGTTTTTAAAAAATGAAATATTGGAATGTAAAGTTAATTTTGCAACTACGCATGAGATTTTTTTTTTTTTAAATCTGGAATCTTATGTCTATTTACTGTATAAAGGGCTGTATCATATTTTTTACAGGAGCAGATTCCTACCCTGTTTCTTAAGGCACAAGTTATATTTAAGTTTTATTCCATCCAACCACTAGTTAGTATCCCTATGGTGATTTTTCTGGCCTCTTCATACTATTCAAGAGGCAAGATGTGACTCTGTTGTCCCCTATCTATCTGCTTGTGGGTATGGTATACAATGAAGTTCTAAGGGGGGAAAACCCCCCCTGTTTGTCATCACTAGTCCTTGATTGTATTTCTGTGTTTGTTTTTCTCTTCCCTAATAAAATCCTCAGAGCATATGCAGTTTCTTTCTGAGGAGTCCTCACCATATTGTGAGAATATTCATAAATAAATAATTCTTATTTGCTGGAAGCATGCACAGACCTTGGTGTTCTGATAGACTCAGCCAGGAAAACTGGAACATAACACAGGCTGGGCCACAGTGTGATAGGTGTTCTGCTTAGTATACTATCTTTAAAAGAAAATGTTGCATAGTTAAGCACTTTGAAAATTGAGAAATGCAAACAGTGTAGTTTTGTGCAGTTTTAGCTTGGTCCTTTAGCAAGTTTATCTGTAGGTCTCTAGCATTGCATGAAGCTGAACCTTGCATAAGAAATAGTGTGTGTCTAATCAATTTGGACTCGGTGAATACATGTTTAGAGTTACGAGAGTTAATTCAGCCTTGTGTAAGTTACCATTAGAATAATGATCTGATTTTTGCTCTTCTCTAATGAAGTCTAATAAAATATTATTTCCTCAACATAATGTGGAAGTTATGAAAATATAAAATATTACCATAGAGATTTTGTGATGTTGTAGGTGTTATTGGGAGGCCTGTAGGATACAACTAGTGACAGAGTGAGTAGATGCCCATGGTTTCACTCATTCTGAGGCACACAAAACCAATTTGTTTTCTGCGTTGAAACAATCACCTACTTCATTTTTCTGATAATTCCTTTGGAGACTTCTGTTCGGATAATTCACATTACTCGCTTCTCCAAAGTTTTCTGTTGCAATTGGCAAAGTCTGTGCATGCACCTAGTGAGGGTGCAATAGGTTTAGAGACTAGTGTGTTGGTAAAAAGTCAGATTCAAGGTGAACAAAACTCTTTTTTCAGTTTTGTGAAAGGGGAGTAGTATAGTAAAATTTTATTCTATCATGAAGTTTTGTTACGCAATTGAAAGCATCACGAAGTCAAAATAGGCTTAGAAATTATTACGTAACATCTGTGTTCCCTTCAAAAAGGAAAGATAAGTGAATCATAGATGAGTGAGTTTTTAAAAATTATTTTGGCCACCATTTGTGTTGCAGGACTTGATGGTTGCAAGATACTTTTAACTGCCCAGAAATCTTTTGGCGAGGAGATGAAACAGAACACGGTTCCTTAAATGTGTTCAGAGACTATTTTCATATAAAGAAGAAAG